AGAAGTATTTTATAAAATATAGAAGACAATCACTGGTTTTTAGGTAAGACTTAATATGAATATCACTTTTCAGATATATAGGTTTTGTTGAGAAACAGGTTGAGCTGAGAATGATCCATGCATTTTCTTGAAGAGAATGACCTCTCTCTTCTAGATATAACATAATAAATAAGGGTAATTTAAATAATTGACAAAAGGTAGGACAGGGCCACCTATGAAAAGTACAGAAAAAACTCACCTGTATATAGAAACTTAATCCATGAAACACTCACTGCAGATAGAAGGTTGAGCTTGGAGAGAGAGAGGAAAACTGTTACTTCTACTATTACTAATACTAATAATAAGACTAGTACTCCTACTACTACTACTAGAAACTTTGAGTAACTTCATAGGAAAAATATTTAATTTTGCATGAATTAAAAATATAAATGTGAAAGGTGAAGCTATAAAATTCTAGAAGTCAGAATAGAATAAAAACATATTAACCCCTTGGGGAAATAATTTATTAAAGAAGACAAAATAAGTTATAAAGTCTTATTCTTGATAACCCACTTCCTTCCCTTCTACACTTTCCAGATTACATAGCTTTGCTTTACTAGGTGCCACTTCTTTTCCTGTTGTATTTCTGATTGCCCCAAAGCTGATATGCACTGTACCTTCCTTGCCAGCTCTGGAAATCTTCATTCTGATCAAGCTAAAGAGATGATTTCATTATGTCTTGGAATGCAGTTAGCTCCCTTCATCCTGGGTCTATTTTATATTGTAGAAGTCAGTGGCACTTTTTCAATATATTGTTTCAATTTATGAGCTGTTTTCAAGCCATCTTGAAAGAAACTGCACAGTACGTGATAGTACTTACAAAATTCTGCAGCACTTCCACACACTTTTGGCTCTTGATTTCATCAGAACGAATTAGATGTTCATACATATGGAGCTCATAGAGAGGCCTTTGCTTCTGCATGTCTTCTGCAATCTTGGCTCCACTTATCTCTGGGCATATCACCCCATGTTATTTCGAATGCTCTCATTTCTCCTTCTCAATTTTTGGAAACTTTATCTCATAATCTTTCCAGACTTAGTCAAATGGTTTCTTGAAATCGCCTTTGATTCCCTTTAGGTCTCTTTCTAACAAGAATTCCAAGGTGAAGGTCACATTGTGGCTCAGAGCCTGGAGCAGATTTTTTTGGACAGTTCCTTTGTTAGAGCAGAAAACTTGACAAAAGCAGGGCCAAGATCTTAAACAATTACTTGCAAACTTATCAAAAACTTGTGCATGTTTTTCTGCATTTAATATGTGGTCTTGGCCAGAATTATATATTGTTTGTACAGATTTCTTCACTTTCTCTAAGGCTGTTCTATCTTGGTCTGGAGACACTTGCATCAGTGTGACAGTGTTCTGGCAGCTGTGCAGCCGCCTGGTGATGCTGGACAAGGTGGAAGAGTTGTAGTCCTGTATGATTTTCATGATGAACTAATTCTGAGATAGATATTTGTCAGGCATCCTGGTACCAGACCATTTTTAGAGGGCTTTATCCTGGAGAAGAGCTCAAGAACTAATTTCTGCTGGTGTTCTCATTTTCTTCTGCACCCCGGGGCAGGCAGCACCAGTTCTGAGGGCTTCAGAGCTGATCCCACTGAGGCCATCTCTGGGGACTCTGGGGTCCAGCATCTGCTGGTCTTGGAGGAGGTGAGTCTCCCAGATCCAGGGCTGCACCTGAGAGTGTGGACCTAAATGCAGATGGAGAGTGACTATGAGATCTCTAGGATGTGAGTTATAGGTAAGTGTTGGAGCCAGACATTAAGAGAAAGGATACTGGGGTTACTGGGTAGCAGCAGGTAGTCCAGAAAAGAGACAAGGAACAGTAACAAGACCCTTGATGCTGCCTGTATCCTGAGCTTTAGCAGCATTCAGTGTGCTTTTGCCAGGAGACATAGGGCAGAAGAACTTGGCAGACAAGGGGCCAAACACATTGCCAATCCTGTGCAAGGTTCTGGACGGTCATGAGGGTGGCTTCTGGAGTGGAGGCTGTGAGTTGATGGGCAAAAGCCACCACTCTGTCCTCATTAAATGGTCGGGCATTCTGCACAATGAACACCATGGCCAGCATGGAGGGTGGCGAGGCTGCATCACTGGAGTCTCCATCCAGTGTTAGGAGTAGGGTTAGGGGTAGGATGAGGGTTAGAGTTTGAGTTTCCTGGACATTCCTATGCTGGAGGTGGCTCCCAGGTCCAGGCCTCAGGCAAGCAGTACCCTAAGCAGGGCTCATGTTGGCCAAGTCAGGCCACCTCTCTCAAGTGGGGAGCAGTGGTGCAGGCCATCTGGGCCATGTGCCACTACCTGTACCCCACACAGTTGGTAGAGGAACAGTACAGTTACCTGTCAGGGCCCCAGAGAAGCCTCCATGGATCCTGCTGCACATTTCCTTTCCTTTCTGACTCATGGCAGAACCATCTCAGGCCTGCTTCTGCAACTTGACAGCTATGCCACACTCACACCTGAGATCCGCAATTGGCTCTTGTCCATCGTGAGTGCAGCAATGCCTGTCTGGTTCTATCAAGATCTTAGAATGTTCCTTACAAGGTACTTGAAAATAAGAGCACAAGACAGCATGAATCTTCCTGTCTGTGTGACCTTGGCAGGTTCTCTAAACTCCTTGTTCCTCAGTTTTCTCATATATAAAATGCTGACAATAACAGAGTCATCTGGGGATGATCTAAGGCTTAAATGAGGTAGTTCATAAGAGCTTAATTCAGAGCCTGGAACACAGGGACTACTCAATACATGCTACCAATTTGAATCTGTGTTCTATAATGGAGAATTCTTGTCAGGGAAGCAGACAGATTGATGAATCTTAGCTTAGTGGGTATGTGAGACCCTTAGAGAAAGCACTTTCCTCACTTGGCCCTGCCTGATGGGGGCCCAGAGCAGAAAGGAATTCATTTAAGGTCACCCAGCACATCTGGTGACCTGAGACAAGCATGAAATGCGGTACTCTTGAGATTGTCTTCAAAAATGCTTGCTAAGGATGAAGGTCTGATATTTAGGAAAGTTCTGCTGGGTGATGGAGATCAACCAAGGACTCGAACATGGTTACTTGGTGGAGGGCCAGAGTCACCTGGCAGTTCAGCAGCGACTGGGGCTGTACTGGGAATGCAGGAAATGTCATGGACCAGGGCCAATCAGTGTATGCGGAGCCTCCTTTACCTGAACAAGAAACTCTTCAATGCTCTGAAGGGGAGAAGCTCTATGTGCTTCTCACTCTACATGGTCTGGGGGACTTCAGAAATTCCCAGAGTTCCCATCAGGGCCTCTAGAATGTTTCCTTCTAGATGTAATTCTTCCATTCCAGTGATAGCATCTCCATTTATAAAACTAAACTTCCCAGTGGAACGTCAGGGCCCAAGTGACCCTTGGAGTTTCCTTCTGGTTGAAATTTGTGTTTTTTCTTCCCTGTCAGGTGCTCCCAAGATCCAGCAGTAGGGCAGATGGAGTCAGACTTCGCGAAAATCAAAGAACACACTCTCATATATTCTGAAGACTGTCTGTACCTAAATATTTATACTCCTGCTGACTTGACTAGGAAAACTAGGCTGCCGGTAAGCTTGGGAACCACTTGGTGAGACTGATGAGTTCTAGCATCTAGATCATCCACTACATGGATGGTGGTAAAGGCAGCTTGGAACAAAAACATTATAGGCCAGGACAGATTCAGGGATTCAGAGCTTTCTTTGATTTGAGGAAATGAAAGTTTCCTTTTCCTAGTTCTCTTAATTTTCTCAGGCCTTGGAGGGAGAATTATGTTCATCTGGAATGTACACCTTAGATTTTCCAAGTTTGTCATACTAATAAAAGGACAAAAATGATTACACTTAGTTACTAGCTTCAGAACCTCTCCCTCTGTCCATCTAAGATTTAATTTTCAAAAAAGTTAGAGCTGGAGGGAAACTTTGAGAAAATTGAACAACCTGAGTTTCTTTACATATAGGAAAACTGAGACAGATCAGAGAAGGTCAGTCACATGACAGGGAAAGCAACAGAAGACTGTCTTCTGATCTTGAAACCAGTGCTCTTTGACATGGACTAGGAAAGGAAGCACACTGGCTGGGTTTCTACACACACTACCCATGACAACTTTCACTGTGCAGTGAGAACAGTCACTATCCCATATCTGAGGTGTTGGTTCAGTAACAAACAATTTCTTGTCTTTGGCCACCAATCTGAGATTTTATCATCGCTCCCTAATTGCCTTTGGCACTAGCTCATGTTCCAGTGAGTCAGCATTTCACAAACAAATGAAGGGTTAGAGTTCAGGCAGGCTGCAGATGCAGAGCATGGAGTGGGGAAGAACAGGCTGGAAAAGAAAGGACAGGAGGACTGTTGTCACAATCCATCCTGTTTTCCAAAATCATCCTGCATGGGTCCCAGACATTATGTAGGAAGTTATGACCTTGGGACTGGAAGGTGGACCTGTATGTGCATTGTAAGGCACAAAGAAGTGGGGACAAAATTTCCCTCAATCACTCATTCACTCATTCATTCATTCATTCATTGACTCACTCCCTCATTCACTCAGTCTTCTCTTTTGTACTCAGTGTTTCTTGAGGATTGGGAAAAGGAGAAACATAAAGCAATGCCAGCAGTAACCAGACAGATCTTGCCTTTGAGGATCTTGTTATCTCAGCTGCACAGACACACTGTAATTTCTCAGCCTATCATTGCTAATCAGCTCTAGGACTCAGCCTTCACTTAATGATCTTGACTCAGTCCCTGCCTTGGAGATATTCTGGAATCAGAGGTCAAAAAGAAACAGGGGCTTCAGGAGATAGGAAGCAGGAGGCCCTGCAGCTATGGACAGACACAAATTCTAGAGCTACAGAGTCCTCCTTTGAGTGGTATATGGCCTTGAGCAACTTCTTAATTTCTCTCAGCCTCTGTTTCTTCCAATACAATAACAGCTATGAATATTCAATGACAACTGTCCAACTTTAGCTCATGTCTGGGCCTGTTCATACACCAGCACTGATGAACACAAGTAAGAAGTGACTTTCTATGGTGTGGCCATGGGTTGCAGCCAATGGGCAAGGCCAACACCTGAGTGCTGGGGCCATACTACATGGTGAACTTATTGGCTATGGCAGCTTGTGCAAATGACATGCTTCAGTTTTTCTATCTGTAATATGGGAAAATAGTAGTTTTTGGCTCAGGAATAGGTTATTTAAAAGTGCTCAGTACAGTACCTAGTATAGAGTTATTTTTATTGGTGATTTTATATTTTATTAGAAAAATTATTACAATATTGTTATTATTTTATGCTGTCCCAGGCCTTCCTTCAGTGCAAACTCTTGAAATTCAGCAACTATGATTATGAACTGTTGCATCCTCTCTCATCCTCAATTCTGACCACAATCCCTAGCACATAGTAGGCTCTCAGATATGTTAGTCAAATCATTGAAGACTTCATGAAGGAAATAGATGTGGTGCGGGCACAGGAGGGTGGAGGATTTGGGTGGAGAGGAGGCAGAGAGCAGGACTATAAGGAAGGCTCACTGCCCAGGGAACGTGTGCACCTTGAGAGAATCAATCTTGCACACCAATTTAATCCCCTCCCCCCAAAAAGTAAACTGAGGTGAAGCTGAAATACATAGTCTGCCCATGATCATGTCATCTGGATGAATGATCCAGGCATGAGTTTGATGCAGTGCTGGGGAGAACCTGACATTCATGGCTTTTGCTTTTCCCATGGTGATGTTCTGTTTGAAGAGCTTTGGGAGGATGTAGCAAATAAGATCTGGGTCAAAAGGAGGGGTACCAAGGTATACCCCATCTCAGAGTGGGGAAATGTCCTGGGACACAGGAGGTAGAGTTGTGGAGAATAAAGGCTGTCTTGCAAACTTACTTACTGGGCACTGTGAAATTTGGGCAATGGCCTCCTTGGGTCACAAGTGGGACCAGGCAACCAAACAAGACAACCACTGAGGTCCTTCCCGATTCTGCTTCCTGTAAGCAGTGTGGATGTGTCTTTGCCCAGGTGCTGGTGTGGATCCATGGAGGTGGTCTGTTGTTGAGTGGAGCATCACACTACAATGGGCTGGTCCTCTCTGCCCATGAGAATATGGTGGTGGTTATCATTCAGTACCGTCTAGGAATCTGGGGATTCTTCAGGTAAGATATTAGACTCTTATCTATATACACATTAGCTTCTGTGTTGATGTGTTCTCTGTTAACATGATGAAGTAACTGACACTGGATAATTCATTTTATTTTTTTTTTGGTACCAGGGATAGAACTTGGGACCTTGGGATTGTGAGGCTGGCGGCGGAACTACTGAGCTAAATCTGAAGCCCTTGCATAATTACTTTAAAGGAACAAATTTATTTGGTTCAGTCCAACCTCAAGGGTTTCATTTGATTAGTCTATGGTGACAGCACCATGGCTGTGTTACAACATGGTGGAGATCAGAAAGGGAATCTTCAGCAAACAGAATAGCTCACAAGACAAGAAACCAAGGGGGTAAAGTCAGGGCCAGACCTGCTCATTTAAAGAAACTCATTCTTTTGGGACTAACTAGCATCTCATTAGATCTATATTCAACTCTTCTAAGGGCAGCAGCCCCAGTGGCCTATGCCTCGCCTTTTACAGGTTTGACTGAGACAGGAAACTGTTAGGATCCTGGACAGAGAGCACTCTTAAGGGGAAGAGAGGAGCAAAAGTGGCCCAGAGTGACTACTGTCAGTCTTGAGAGCCCCGAATAGAAGTTTGTTCTTTATATACCTCTTTTTATATCTATGAGGCTTATTGTCATTGGGGTTTCCCTGGGAATATAGCAAGCAGGATTTACATAAAGAAGAGCAATGCGTTTGGGCGAGGACAAGAGTTCTGGCAGGACTTTCTGAGTCCCTTATGCTCCTGAAGCATGACCACTTGGGGGTCTCCAGACAGACCACTGACCACACTGAGTAGGAGCAAAATCAGCTTTATTCCTAGTGGCTTGGAGGGATTCAAATCACCTCGAAAGTGTCAAACAGAAGTTTACTGCCATTTTTATACCTTTATGTTTCTATGGGAGGGGGAGGGAGAAACAGCAACCATCATCCCTGGGGAAACAGCTATCAATCAAAACATAATTACATAAGCAAAAGGGGAATGAAGGGAGGAGCAGGAAGTTTAGCAGGGCTTTCTGAGATAGTCTTGCTCTAGTGAGTTTGCATTACAGTAGTGACCATAGTTACACTATATCTTTCTCAGCAAGCACAGTTATACAGTCAACCCATAGTTGTCCATTTTTACACCCATTTTTATGCCTTCACTCCTTTGGTGACAGATTATAGAAGTTGTCACAGCTACTCAGATATATTCCACAAAGAGCATAGTTACCTAGTTAACCGATAGCTGCCTAAAAATACAGTTAACCCATAGATGCCTAATAACACAATTTACCCATAGTTGCTCAACTCCATATGGAGGGGTGCTCTTCTCTCTCACTATCAACTTTTAATACTGGCACATTAGATATCAAGGCTTCAGCACAAGAATCCTTGGGGCGGGGGACCACATGCAAACCAAACCACATTAGCTGCCACAGAAAAGATGTGAAGTCCCAGCTATAGGCAGGCCATCTCTCAAAACACTTTCTTAAGGTTCTTTATAATACAACCAGTCCTTTTGTTATTGGACACCAGTGAAGTTTTCATTCACCAATCACACTTGTCCATTGATTCTGAGCATTTGCATAGGCGAAGTTCCTCTGCCTGGAAAATCTGCTCTACCTGTCAGATTCATACTCTTCCTGCAAACCCCATTCTTCACATTACTGGCTCTGAAATGCTCATTTCCTTCTCACCTGTGCTGTATCCCAGTGCCCAGCAAAGTTTGGAAAAGACCCTCTCCATAAGTCTCCTTCTATGAAGGGAGTGAGAATTCAGCAGAGCAATTAGGTGCTGTATATCTTCTGGGAAAGCAGGAAGAGCCAAACTCATGGCAGGATTGCACATACTTGCAAAGACAGATTTTCAACTGAACATGCTGCCAGGCTCTTCTCATAGAGGTCAGTAGTGACCCCATCAGCTCCTGGCCCAGCCTCATGAGATTTCTTAGCACCAGCCACAGACAACCTCTCTTTCGACTCTGAAGTCCTTTCTTCTAGCTCTGCCAAACTCTAATCTATCGGGCTGCTCCTCCTCAGCTGCTTTGCTACTCCTGTCCCATCCACAGTCCTCAGTGTCTCCCCATCCTTCTCCACTAATTCCTGAGCACTTTCACAGCTCCTTGTTTGCAGAATTCACCTGGTTTTTAATCTAGGTGCCAACTTTAGAAGTCTTCTCCCATTTCCCCTGGAGGTCTACAAGATGCCTCCCATTTTACATCTACATACTGTCGTGTTCACTACCTCTTCCTCTCTTCCCTCAAGAGCCCCAGTGTAACCACTAGTAGTTCTATCTTCCCTCTTCCTCAGGATAAAGGCCTGATGGGTATCCCAGACTCTTATTTTACTTCTTATTCCTTACATCCACTTGATCAGCAAATCTTCTTGACTCTAACTTTAAAATATGTTATTCAGCTATTCCTCACCTACTCCTTGTTTGCACCCTGATCAAAGGTCAGTGCCTCTACCCTGTATTATAAACACTTATTTTATAAAATTGCTACTTTTATAGAATGGTTGCTTCATATCATACCCAGAGTGCTCACATGAGACATAGGTTGAATGACATTGTGCCTGTGAGGATATTTCTCATGTTACTTACTATGGCACAGAAGTCCTTGCCATGGCCCACAGCACGGTCTATAGCACATTTCACACTAGCACACACAGTTTCTTCTCTTGTGTCAGGGTTCTGTCCACCTGCAACTTCTCCTAAATGAAATTCCCTTCCCTTAGTAATATACAAGACCATGTGCTCATTTTATTCAGAGATCTACCAAATGCTAATGTTCCAGGGAAGTTTTCACTGGTCATGAAATCTCACATATCACCACACTGTCCCACATGTGCTTCTTTCTTTACCCAGTTTTATGTTTCTTCAAGTTACTTTCAATAGTTGACAGTATATTCTCTTGACATTTGTTTGTGCTCTGTAGTATAAGCTGAATGTAGCCAGAGATTTTTGCCTGTTTTGTT